AGAGATGACCAGTCACTTCTGGACTCAAGATAAGCCCTTACATAATTTTTCTTTTAGTTATAAACTGAATTTCTCAAAGGGTAAACTGATTTCCCTTCCTGTTTTGTTGAGTTGAGTTTTGCATTTCTTTAATATATCCGGAGGTCTTCCTGTCTTAAAAGATACATTAATGCTTTCCCATGTATTACATAACCTTTGTATGGATACTCTTATCTAAATTTTGCATCTGATTTTAATATAAACCCACCCTCCCTACACAGGTAGGACTTTTCACTGCTGCACAGAATGTTGATATTAATAAATATTCTTCCTCTTTTATCTGACTAGAGCTCCTATAGACTCATTTCTGATCTCAGATCTTCTGACTTATGACTTAATAATAACTTATGACTAATAACTAATGACTTATTAGTTTCTTGTTACTCCTGAAACAAATAACAACAAAAATAGTAGATTAAAATAACAGATTTCTTATCACACAGTTCTATAGCTGTACAAAATTTGGAAAGTACTCTGAAAAAAAAAGCTTGAGTAGTGTCATTAGTATTAGCCACACCATGTTTTTTCGCAGTATTTTCCAAGTTTTGTAAGGTTGATTTTTTTTCAACATTCTCCAGTTACTATAATTCTCATCTAAATCTTTCCCTCACTAAATCCTTTCTAAAGCTGTCTTCACTAAATTGTCAATTGTCATTTATAAAACCCATTCTTTTTGTTGTAATAAGTAAAAGGAAAATCATGGTTTAGATCTGCATCATAAATTCATGCCCCTAAGGCCCAAGCAGATAATAAAAATCAAACCAATCTGGGTGAAAGTGAGGATTAATGGAACTATAGTTAACTAGCTAGGTGTACAGCTAGTCAAAAGGCATTCAAGAAATATATTTTTACAAGGCTTTTGACCAAACTCAGCGAAGCTACAGGCTTTAAATTTAGACCCTCAAATTGATTTTTATATTTTGTTTAATAAAATATAAGCTCCACATATATTTTGGAAAAACCATGCTCACTGTCAAGGATTTGTTTTTCCACAAAGATTTATTTAGATACTCTCAGAGCCCATATACAAAGAATTGTATTCTATATGTGCACTTTCCAGGTAGCCTGACCTGTGACATTTGATAAAGAGTTTACTGTCTGTTTAGGTAGAGACCTAGGACCAAAGATTAATTGGTGAAATAAAGCATTGTATTAGAGGTAGGAAAATGTGCATGAGAAGCAGTTCTGCCTTGAGTTAGGAATGTGGAGAGGTAGTCAGCTCTTGCTTCTTAAAGGTGTATGGCACTGGAGCTGAGCTTTTCTCTGGCAGAATTAACGTACAGTCTTTGTTTTATTATCCATCTACTAAAATTGTACTTGGAAAAAATGTGTTGCTTAGTTTGTCAATCTTCTGTGATTTTTTTTTCCAGTTTTTCTCCACAAGTACTTATGAAAAACATGGCTGACATTAACCTCAAAGAAATAACCTTAATAGTTGGTGTGGTTACTGCCTGCTATTGGAACAGCCTCTTTTGTGGTTTTGTTTTTGATGATGTTTCAGCAATCCTGGATAATAAAGACCTACATCCATCTACACCCCTAAAAACGTTATTTCAGAATGATTTCTGGGGAACCCCCATGTCTGAGGTAAGTACTTATATATTATTTGTGTGTATATCAGATTTTAAAATATTGAGGTAGTTTGTTACTCCTAATTTTTTATCAATATTGTCATAGCAATTAGGGAGTCCCCCCAATTTAAATAATGCATAATTTGTTGGACAAGAAGTTGAAGATGTGATTATCTTCCTTGAGGAATACTTGAGTCTTCCCTTGGCTGTGTACCTTGGCTTTCTTTTATTAAAAATAATATATTTGTGTAAGAACCAAATGTGTACGGAGAGCAATAGGTATAATAAAGTCTATTTCTTGCTCATTGACTATTTTTCTTTTTTCTATTTTGTGAGTCAGACAAAGGAAATGACTGTGATATATTTAACCATTTTAAATGTGGTAGCTTCAGTATAAATAGATTTTAGCAGTTAAAATGAAAAATACACATATTGTCAATTTCTCTGCAGGAACAAAAGCTTATAAAAAGTTGAAATTCTTTTTTCATTTTATTTACCTAATAGTTATTTAGGTTTTATATTTAGAATCCAAAAGTTTTGTTTGTTTTCAGGAGGGTATTTTTTACTCTGGCAATAGCTATTTTAAGGACAGTGTTAAATTGTTTAGAGGTAAACCCTTGTCAACCTGGGTCCATTCAAATAAAGTTTTAATTTTAATTCTTTCATTTATTAGCTGTGTGATACAGGTAGAAATATAGCTTTTAGATGACAGTCATTTTCTTGATGTATAAAAGAGAATAATACCCTGAGAATAAATATACAAATTAACTTTCCATCTATAATACCTACTGCACAGACGTTCAATAAATTGTTATTGAAACATAATGTATAATACTCTGTAATAGTTTGCCTCTCAATCATTTATGACCTGTTTCCCCATTCCCCAAATTTGGAAAGTTTGCAAGGGCAGGGAGGGAATTATTCACCAGCACCAAGTAATTTTTTCTTACTAAATAAGCAAGCCTTAACTTTTCTGTAGCCTTCCTAGGCTTATCCAAAAATGCACAACTATTGCATTTTTATATATTATTTCCTGACAGTTTTGTTTCTGCTACACCTGACCCCAACCCCCAGAGAACTTTAGAAACATGTATCTGTTCTCCTGTACTAGTTAGTATCTGTGGTGATATATTTTACTCATATTGGGATTTTGAACTGAAAATTTAGCTGGCCAGATTAAAAGACCTCATAAAAGTAAACATACTATGATATCAGTGGTCTGTTTTGTGATTTTTCTCTGCTTTGTAGATTAAAAATTTAATTTTATTCAGAGCATCCATAACAACCCGGCTAAAAAGACTCATAAGAGTATACTCAGAATGGAGAAAGACACATTTTGGGCTTCAAACATTTTTCTAAAATGAATTAACATTACCATTTGGGTCTTTGGGCTCTCAAGAGCCTTTCAGTGTTTCCATTTACTGTTGGTTCCGTGGGTCACAGCTCTGACTTCTCAGTAGAGTTGACCCAGGACATTTTTTAAAAATGTATTACTGTTCTACCCAAGCCTATTATTTCAAATAATCTCTCAGATGCAATGTGGAACATCGATATTTTTTGCTTGTTTTGCTTTTCTTGTTTGTTGTTTGGGTGGGAGGAGAGGTTAAAGAGAAGAGATTCGATGGTACAGTCATGCTGAGAACCACTGTGCTATAGTCAACCATACTGTTCTCACATTTGGCCTGTAAAGTCTCTTGTGTTAAGGTAACTTCCCACAGATATCTTACTTTGTTTGTTTGTTTGTGGTTTTTTTTTTTTTTTTTTTTTTTTTTTGCCATCCCTGTGTTAAGGAGCAGAGAATGTTAGCTAATCAGTTTATTATATTCATACTTGTATCTTCTGTTGCCAGCTAATATTATGAGTAATTGTTTTCTATTTTACTGTATTTTCACAAAATAACTCAATATTTAATAAGCTACGATTATCACAGTGAAGTCTTAAGTAGATTTCTAATGAATTATGCAAATAATTACATAACTATAGTCATTACCTATGGCATATGCCGTATCAAATGGGCCTAATCAAGCGATTATATATAGTATAATTAAAAATTCACATTTCCTTTCATTTTCTGACTTCATCCTTTCACCTGACAAATATATTCCAGTGGAGCCACATTAATACTTCAGCCATTCTGAAGGATTTTAGCATCATTTTCTACTTCGTGGTACAAATTATGTCAGTTCAGGACAGTACCTTAAAAATAATTTTGTATAGAAATTAGTCAGGAAAGAACATTCTAAATAGAGGGCTTACCATGGTGTATATAGTCAATACAAATAGAAATATTAAGATACTCCTAATTTCGAAGTGGGAAATGTTTGTTCCTGTGTTTCCTAATGTTCCCTAGTAGATGAAGTAAGTTAATTCTGTACCTTTGTGCCAGAGAGTTACAGCATAATATGGTAAGAGTTAGAAAAGCAAAGAAGCTGAATATGAATGGTTTTTATGTAAGACTACAAAAAGTAACTAGTGGCCGGCGCCGCGGCTCACTAGGCTAATCCTCCGCCTAGCGGCGCCGGCACACCGGGTTCTAGTCCCGGTCGGGGCGCCGGATTCTGTCCAGGTTGCCCCTCTTCCAGGCCAGCTCTCTGCTGTGGCCAGGGAGTGCAGTGGAGGATGGCCCAGGTGCTTGGGCCCTGCACCCCGTGGGAGACCAGGAGAAGCACCTGGCTCCTGCCTTCGGATCAGCGCGGTGCGCTGGCTGCAGCACGTCAGCCGTGGTGGCCATTGGAGGGTGAACCAACGGCAAAGGAAGACCTTTCTCTCTGTCTCTCTCTCTCTCACTGTCCACTCTGCCTGTCAAAAAAAAAAAAAGTAACTAGTATATTATCTGTATTTTTGAACTGTGTGTTTTATTCATAAATCTGGTTTGAATTTTGTCTTGGTAAAAACTTTTAGTACTTTAGCTAAGTATAACTTCTAATTTATAAGGAACTTCAGTATTTCACATAAAATTCATTTTATTGCCAACAGAAGATAGAATAGAAGTGTATAGTCTCATATTCTAAGAATTTTTTTTTTTTAGTTCTGTGTAAGATTTGGGGAACTTTAATTTAATATATTCACACTTACTACATTATGAAGTTTTTCATAAGACAGCCATGCTTAAACCAAACTGATAAACATTCTGTTTTTATGTTTGCTTTTGAAAAATCTATTCACAGGTTACATACACTTTTGCCTTAATGTATTAGATAGAAAGGCAAGCCTTGGAGAGAATCCTATGCTGCTCATACTTGAGCAATACCACCATTGTCCTAATCTTTTTTTTTTTAATCTGTACTGAAGATAAATTAATAGTCAGATATTCTTCCTCTGCTATTAATTCTCTGTCCATTATACTCATATACCAGGGAAGAAATTACTTTGTTTTAGGACTCAGGAAGTAGAAAACAATATTATAAAGCTTTCTTTTATGTTTGTAATTCCTGGACGATTTATTTATTTTACTGTAGTTAGCCAAATGTAAGTATCTTTGATATAAAATACAGTGATTATTTTATTTACTCCGAAGGACCGAGATACTTTAATAATTATTGATTATGTTTCCTTTTAGGAGAGAAGCCACAAGTCTTACCGTCCCTTAACAGTGTTGACATTTCGCTTAAATTATCTGTTTAGTGAACTAAAACCAATGTCATATCATCTCCTAAATATGATTTTTCATGCTATGGTCAGTGTGATATTTCTTAAAGTCTGTAAGCTTTTTCTGGACAACAGGAGTAGTGTGGTTGCTGCTCTACTTTTTACAGTGCACCCAATACACACAGAAGCAGTAAGTAAAACTTTAGATTTATTTTACTTTTTTATAAATCCTACTCAGTGACTATAATTATATATATTTCAAGAAAAAAGCTTTAACATGACTTTAATGCAACTATTTGGAGACTCTTACAATGATATAATAAATCTTAATTCTCTGATACCACAGTCTCATCTACTGCATAAAATTTTTTAATTTACGTTTTTGAAACCTAAATGTTTATTCATTCAAGAACATAAGGTATAAGTAATCTCTTAAAGTTAGCCATATAAAATATAAATAAATACAGTTCCTTTTTTGTTCAATACAGATTTTAAATATTATTTGCCAATCTGCCAATACTTGCATTGGCAGGCAACGATAACCAATCAGGCAAATTTAAGAATGAAAATATATCAAAATATATACAAATATAAGCAGACATATTATTAAGTGATGAGACTCTAGTTCATTACCAGGTATGTCAGAATTCTGAGTTATCTCCACCATTGCTGTTATATGTCCACCAACCCCTTCCCAACAAGACATCTCAAGCTATTATTTTATTTTTCTTGATAAGCTTGAAACTCCAAAACTCCCAACCAGAGCATAGACTTGCTTAGTTGTAAGCTGTTAAGTTATAAGTAAAAGGTATGTATAGGTGTTTTTATTGGAGGCGGATTGTGTATTTCTTCAACAAACTATCTTGAATGTTTTGGAGTGTAGTTTAGCAGACATTTTCCATACATTTAAAAAAAATGGTAGGAATTTAAAAAAATTTTACCAGGACTGGCATTGTAGCATAGTGGGTAAGTCTGCTGCCAGCCACGCCAGCTTCCCATATGAGCACTGGTTCAAATGCTGATTGCCCAACTTCTGATCCAGCTCCCTGCTAATGGCCTGGGAAAAGCAGCGGAGGATGGCCTAGGATCTTGGGTCCCTGCATCTGTGTGGGAGACTCAGATGAGGCTCTTGGCTCCTGGCTGCAGCCTGGCTCAGCCCTGGCCATTTTGGCCATTTGGGGAGTGAACCAGTGGATGGAAGATTCTCTGTGTATGTGTCTGTCTCTCTCTCTCTGTGACTCTGACTTTCAAATAAATAAATCTTAAAAAAAATAAAAATAAAACATTTTACCACAAAATCAAAACACTTTGGAAATGTTAGGTTTGAAAGTTACATACATATATAGATACATATATGTATCTTACTGAGTATAAATACTTTTAAGAGTACTTGTCTTTTTAGAAAAATAGGCTACAAGTACCTTTTGTAAGTTCAGAACTATTGTAGATATTGTATTATAATTATGTAAAACATTATCATTGGGAGAAACTGGTAAAGAATACACAGGAATTCTTTGTACATGTTCGTGGTCTCCTGTGAGTCTACATTATTTCAACATAACTTAAAAACTGTTATAAATTTCTTTGTGGAAATACACAAATTCACCACCTGAGGGCACCCAAAGAATGTTTAATATCCTTGAAATGCGCCTTGAAAGTTAAAGAATTTAGTTGCTAATTGAATTGCTTTGCTATTATAATAATTTTTCAAGATTCTTTTCATTAACATGAACTTAATCTCCCACCTGGTTTCCCTTTCTAGGTAACAGGTGTTGTAGGAAGAGCAGAACTTTTGTCATCTATCTTTTTTCTAGCTGCATTTTTGTCATATACCAAATCAAAAGGACCGGATAATTCCATAGGTAAATGTCTAACATCTGATATGTTTTGATAGCTATAAAAATAAATTTCAAAAAATTTGATCAACTTTTATTTACCCCATGTGCTTCTTGTAAAATATTATGTGCTACACTTACGGTTTATATAGTGTTCTTCAGCATGCATGGAAATATGAAGTAATATGTCAGTATTTTTAGAAGTTATATGTAGTTTATATTTTAAATGCATGTTATGAAAAAATATATGTGGATTTCAGCTACTTTTTGCACCAAAATAAACATCTTTTAATTCAATTTTCAGGGAGTTTTTGAAGTTCCCTCATACATGATCTAATTTGAAAAATCAAACAAGCCTAGAATATAAGTATTTTAGAGTTAATCCCGGTTCCATCGACTGTTAATCTCTAAGAAATGATACAAGATCTAGTACTTCAATTGTCTTTCAATAAATAACGCTAGTAGGCTGTGCTACTGTTTGGGCAAAGTTAAAATTCTGCTGGAGTGTAACTTTTTTTATATGTGTTGATCAGAGTTCAGCTATTTATTGAGCTCCTACCTTGTGTCCAGCCCTGAAAAGTGCTTTGAATGCATAAGCTCATTAATCCTAACGATGCCTGGGTTTGCCAGAAACCAATTCCAGGCAAAAAAAAAATTTTTTTTTTAGTGTGTGGGCATAGTAGTTATGAAAAGGACTCCACATAATGACCTTAACCTTAGTTTGGTTAATTCTAATGTTTAGCTCTGAATTGTTTGTTTTTATTGTCTTGTGATAAGTAGCTTAATTTTGTATGTATGTAACCTAAAGTTTAAAAAATAAATGATTGAGGCAGGTGCTGTGGCATAGAGTTTAAAGCCACAGCCTGTCACACAGTGCTGGCGATCCACATGAGTCCCTGCTACTCCACTTCCAATCCAGCTCCCTGCTGATGTTCATGGGACGGCAGCAGAGAATGGTCCAAGTATTTGGGCCCCGGCACACCTATGTGGGAGCCCTGGAGGAAGCTCCTGGCTCCTAACTTTCTAGATTAGCCCAGCGCCACTAGCAAATGGAAGCCTCCTCACCCTCACCCCCCGGCGTGTAATTCTGCCTTTCAAATAAACAAGTAAGTCTTAAAAAAAAAAAAGTGACTGAGCCAAATATTCTAATATTTTTTGGTGGTAATAAGAATAGGCTTGCCTTTTGTTGCTGTGCATTATGCCTTAAGACAGTTGAGTGGCAGCATGTCATAGTGGTTAAGAGCTTGGACTCAAAGTATCTAGTTTCAAATTCCAGCTCTACTCCTTACTTACTAGTTCCATTTGCTACCTTGGACAAAGTACTTAACCTCTCTGTGCTTTAGTTTATCTATATAAAATGTGGGTATTCATAGTCCCTACCTACCCAGTTTATCATGTGGTAAGAGGTTAGTCAGTAACTAATAAGGAATGACAACCCAGTAGCCTCTTTACATACCATCCTAAACAAGGCAAAAATGATAAATCAGAAAATAATGTGACCTGCAGTACGCTATTCAGGTTCACATCTACTTCTCTAACCATATCCCTTGCCATTGGTCTCATAGCTTGTTGGACTATAGCCAGATAACCAAACCTTCTTGCTATTTTCAAACAAGTGAAGTGCTTGCCTTTACTTTTTTTTCTCTGACTATTCTTCCCCTACATCATCACATAGTTGTCCCATTTATATACTTCTTTGAATCACCAAATTCACCACCTACCGTTGTTTTTAAAGTTAATATTTGGTTAGATAATTTTTGTCTACACAAAAGTTTTGTTTGAAATATATATCTTAGTGTTTTACCTAGAAAAAAAAATATTACATGCGAAATATAAATGTATTTTAAAGTAGAAAGAATGAGCCAATAGGGAATAACACATATGGATATGGAATTACAAGTAAGATTTAACTTATCTTTTTTAATATTATAAGGTTGTTTAATATAGTTTTATTTGTCTCTGTCCTTAAATTGCAGTGTGGACTCCAATTGCACTGACAGTGTTTTTAGTGGCTGTTGCAACACTGTGTAAAGAACAAGGAATAACAGTGGTGGGAATTTGCTGTGTGTATGAGGTGTTCGTTGCCCAGGGGGTAAGGAAAAACAGACATTTCCTTGTCTCTCTCTTTTGTCCTAGTTGGGTCGGATTTTCATAACAGTTTGCTTACCAATAAAGATGCCAAAGATTTTCATTTAACAAGTATATTTTGCTCATACCCACTGAGAATTCTTTACTCAGCATTTTAAGACATCTTTAGTAATTTAAGAATTGCTTTTCAAATTTTGATAGTGAAATTGTTAGCCAATTTGGAGAAGTACGCAATAATGTTAGATTGTAATTCCTTATTGGATAAGATTACTGAGTTTTATTTGTTATCAGTTCCGTAAATCATTCCATATTGATCTTGTGATTATACTCATTTTGTATTTGTTCTTGTATTAAAAATTTTTACATTACTCAAAATATTTTATAATGTATTACTTGTTTAAAACGTTTTTTTTTCTTTTCAGTATACTTTGCCATTATTATGTACTACTGCTGGACAGTTTATCCGTGGAAAGGGTAGTATTCCCTTTTCTATGCTGCAGACACTAATAAAACTCATTGTCTTGATGTTCAGTACACTGTTACTTGTTGTGATTAGAGTCCAGGTTATTCAGTCCCAGCTTCCAGTATTCACAAGGTAGGAAATTCTGATTCTTTTTGTTTTTTCTGTTCTGTGTTTTTAACTTTGAATTTTAAATAATCACAAGTATTCCAGAGAGCATTTGATTTACACTGTTTTCAATGGACTTATTAAGGTACAGTCGATATATTTTTTAAGTGCATAGGTTTAAAATATATGAATTGATAAATTTTGGCAGACATGGTATGAGAGTACTTCAAAAAGTCCATGGGAAGGGGCCAGTGCTGTGGCATAGCGGGTTGGGCCACTGCCTGCGGTGCTGGCATCCCACAAGGGCACCAGTTTGAGTCCTGGCTTCTTCACTTCTGATCCAGCTCTCTGCTATGGCCTGGGAAAGCAGTAGAAGATAGCCCAAGTCTTGGGCCTTTGCACCCACATAGGAGACCTGGAATAAGCTCCTGGCTCCTACCTTCGGGTCAGCACAGCCCCAGCCATTGTGGTCATCTAGGGAATGAACTAGCGGATGGAAGATATCTCTCCCTCTCTCTGCTTCTCCTTCTGTGTAACTCTGACTTCAAATAAATAAATCTTTAAAAAAAAAGTTCATGGGAAATACATATTACAAAAAACCTATGCATGGATTTTAAAATTTTTTACACCAAATTAACTTAACCTTTTTTTTTTAACTTTTATTTAATGAATATAAATTTCCAAAGTACAGCTTATGGATTACAATGGCTTGCCCCTCATAATGTCCCTCCCACCCGCAACCTTCCCCTTTCCCACTCCCTCTCCCCTTCCATTCACATCAAGATTCATTTTCGATTCTCTTTATATACAGAAGATCAGTTTAGCATACATTAAGAAAAGATTTCAACAGTTTGCTCCCACACAGAAACATAAAGTGAAAAATACTGTTTGAGTACTAGTTATAGCATTAGATCTCAATGTACAGCACACTAAGGACAAAGATCCTACATGAGGAGTAAGTGTACAGTGACTCCTGTTGTTGACTTAACAAATTGACACTCTTGTTTATGGCCTCAGTAATCACCCTAGGCTCTTGTCATGAGCTGCCAAGGCTATGGAAGCCCCCTGAGTTCACTGACTATGATAATTTTTAGACAAGGGAATGGTCAAAGTGGAAGTTCTCTCCTCCCTTCAGAGAAAGGTACCTCCTTCTTTGATGACCCGTTCTTTCCACTGGGATCTCACTCGTGGAGATCTTTCATTTAGGTTTTTTTTTTTTTTTCCCCAGAGTGTCTTGGCTTTCCATGCCTGAAATACTCTCATGGGCTTTTCAGCCGGATCCGCATGCCTTAAGGGCTGATTCTGAGGCCAGAGTGCTGTTTAGGACATCTGCCATTCTATGGGTCTGCTGTGTATCTCACTTCCCATGTTGGATCATTCTCTCCCTTTTTTATTCTATCAGCTAGAAAAGTGATCACTGTTAAATATAAGAGTGGGAATAAGAGAGGGAAGAGATGTGCAATTTGGGACATGCTCAAGCTGACTTACCTCAAACAGTAGAGTTAGAAACATACCAGGGGATTCCAATTCAATCCCATCAAGGTGGCATGTACCAATGCCATCTCACTAGTCCCAGTGATCAATTTCTGTTCACAATTGATCATAATGATAGGACTAAGAACCAAAGGGATCACATAAACAAGAATAGTGTCTGCAAATACTAGCTGATAGAATAACTTAACCTTTTAATTCAGTTTTTCTACAGACTTTTTGAAGTATCCTTGTACACCCACGAACTGCCACAACAAAAATAATGATCTGCAAATTGGTTAGGTTTTAAAGTTAGCATTATGTCTTCTATATCCTTAGTGATTTTTGTTGACTTCTTCTATCAGATAATAAGAAAGGGATATTGAAGTCTCTAATTATAATTGTAGATTTCTGTATTTCTCCTTGCAATTATCTCAATTTTGGTTCACGTGTTTTGATGTTGTCTTGTAAGTATATAAACATGTAGCATTGTCATATCATTGTGATCAGTTCGTCCCTTGCTATTTGTAACCATTTTTTCTGAGCATACATTTTAAGTCACACAATATATTTTTTACTACTTTCTGCTTTAAACAATTATCTTTTAGAATTGAAACACTAGAAAGGTGTTTTATATTAGCCAATGAAGTTATTTCAAATGCTTTTCATTCCTTTGTTTGATCAAGATTTTTGTGGTGCTACTTTTACTTGTACTTGAAGAGTTTTCTTTAATATTTCTCGATAGTCCAGTCTGCTGTTGATGAATTCTTGTAGCATTCATGCCTGTAATATTTTCATTTTACCTTTTTCTTGGGTGGAGAATTCTACATTGACTGTTTTTCATTCACTCTAAAATTTTGCTCTACCATCTTGCTTGCTTTGTTTTCAATGAGAATTTCTTTGTCAACCTTTATGCTTCAAAAAGTGTCTTTCCTTCTATGCCTGCCTTTAATATTTTCTCTTCATTGTTTCATATATTACCACGTTTCTTCTGTTTAGGTTAATTGGGCTTCTTGGAATTTGCTGTATGAATTTTGGAAATTTTTTAGCTGGTTTTCAAATATTTGTACTATCACCTCTCTTTCTGGAACTTGGATTTTGTATAATTGGACTTTTTGAAGCTACTGCGCTAATGCTGTTTATCCCTACCTCCTCCCCCACCCCCAGTCTCTTTATTCCCCACTCTTATTTTGGATAGTTTCTTATACTGTATCTTCAAGTTCACTAATCTTTTTCAGAAATGTTAACCCATCCTTTTATCTCCCATGCTTGCATGGTCTACTGTTTTATTGTCCTTGTCCACAAATTGGATCATCTACATCATTGATTTCTTCTCTTTAAGAATTATGCTTCTCTATTTATTTACATGTCCAGTAATTTTTGAATGGATGTCACACATATATGAATTACACTTTAATATTTTTCTATCAATATTTTTGAGCTTTGTTATGGAATACATTTAAGTTATTTGGAAAATATTTCTTCTAGTCTTTTAAACTTTTTGTGGAACCACTTTGTAGGATTTATGATAAAGCTGATTTTACTCCACTAGTGACATGAGACTATTCTGACTTCTCTACCCAAAGGACTGTGAATTATGAGGATTTGCACTTCAGCTGCTAATGAACTATTCTTTCTATCATATATGGGGATCTTTCTCTCAATCCTTCCAGAAGGTTCTTTCCTGGCCGTTAGTATTTGTAAGATTGCTGTAACAAGTAGCCACAAACTGAATGGCTTTAAACAACAGAAATCGATTTATTCATAGTTCAGGAGGCCAGAATCCAAAGATGTTGGCACAATTCGTTCCCTTTCGAGGCTCTGGGGAAGAATCTGTTCCATACCTCTCAGTATTCCTTGGCTTATAGGTAAAACACTGCAATCTGTTCTATCTTGATATTGCTACTTTTGTGTCCCAGTATTTATCCTGTTCTTGGGCATAATAAAGACACCAGTCAGGAACAGGAATTTGGCACCTAAAATCAAATGAAGGGAGCCTCCTTGAAGAGAGTTCAGTACCTAGGTGAAGTGTTTTTAGTAAGTGGAACACCAAGTGGCTACCCAGACTGACCCCAGCAGTATAACTGGATTGAGAAGTAGAGCTGGGATGCTTAGGAACTCTGAAGCAGAATAGGGTTAGAGTTAGTGGGATTTAACACTAGAAGAAGAAAACTGAGAAAAAGAATTTGAATGATCTTCAGAGGGTCTCTCTCAGTTTTCAATACTAAGAATTTCTTATAACATATATTCATATGTGAGGACATACCCAAGGTCAGTGTAACAAGTTGTCGTGTTTCCCCAGAATGCGTATCTGCTCAGAACTTAGAATCTTTTTTACCCACTTAGTTAATTAACATGAGATTATAGTAGATTGGGGTGGGCTCTCTAAATCTAATCAATGATTGGTACCTTTTAAAATAACTTTAATTATTTGAAAGGCAGAGCAAGAGAGACATTCCACCCACTGGTTTACTCACGGATGCCTGCAGCAGGTGGGGCTGGGATAGGCCAAAGCTAAGAGCTCTTAACCTCATCCACACGTTGGTAGCAGGAACTCAGGTATTGGGCCATCATCTGCTGCCTTCCAGGATGCACATTAGAAGGAGGATGGATCAGAAGCAAAGGCAGAGCTCCATCTCAAGCACTCTGGGATGTGGATGTCCCAAGTGGGAGCTTAAGAACCCACTGCGCCACATTGCCCCCCCTGCTTTATAGAGTTTTTTAAAAATTTTAATCAGAAGTTCATAATTTAATGAAAGCATTCTACCATTTTATTGTAGTATGTGTTCTGAATTTGTCTCATTATATACTAGAAATAGATCATCTGCTTGCACATCAAACAGTTCTTCATAAATGGCATCATTTTGTACCATAGGTAAACTCTAAAGTATCCATAATTTATATTTGATCTTAGTTTAATGAGATACATATATTATTTTTAATATTGTTCAGTATTATATGGGTTGCATCCGTTTCGTGTTTAAAAAATGTTTAAAATTCTTTTTCATTTTCTGTACAGGTTTGATAACCCAGCTGCTGTAAGCCCAACTCCTACAAGGCAGCTAACTTTTAACTACCTCCTTCCAGTGAATGCTTGGCTTCTGTTAAATCCTTCAGAGCTTTGCTGTGATTGGACTATGGGGACAATACCACTTATAGAGTCATTTCTAGATATTCGAAATCTTGCCACATTTATATTCTTTTGTCTTCTGGGAACTCTGGGAGTATTCAGTCTCCGATACCCTGGTGATTCTTCTAAGACTGTTTTAATGGTATGAAACTTTAGGTTTTTAGACTCTGTTACATTTGGTTGATTAAATAAGTGGCTAGCTTTAATTCATCCAAAGAATTTCTTTAAAGATTTATTTTATTTATTTGAAAGACAGTTACAGAGAGAGGTAGAGACAGAGAGAGAGGTCTTCCATCTGCTGGTTCACTCCTCAAATGGCTGCAATGGCCAGAGCTGAGCCAATCTGAAGCTTCTTTATTTCTCCCTTGTGGATATAGGGGCCCAAGGACTTGAGTCTTTCTCCACTGTTTTCTCAGACGCACTAGCAGAGTGCTGGATCAGAAGTGGAGCAGTTTGGACCCGAAACAGTGCTCATATGGGATGCCTACACTTCAGGCCAGGGCTTTAACCTGCTGTTCCATAGTGCTGGCCCTCAAAGAGTCTTTCTTAAAAGAAGTATGCTTTGGGGCAGGTGCTGTAGCATCGCAGGTGGGGCCACGGCCTGCAGTCCCAAAATCCCATGTGGGCGCCAGTTCAAGTCCCAGCTGCTCCACTTCCGATCCTGCTCTCTGCTATGGCCTGGGAAAGCAGTGGAAGATGGCCCAAGTCCTTAGGCCCCTGTACCTGCAGGGCAGACCCAAAAGAAGCTCCAGGCTCCTGGCTTCAGGTCAGTGCCGCTCTGGCCGTTGCGGCCACTTTAGGATTGAACCAGCAGATGGAGGCCCCCCCCACCCCCAAATCTCTCTCTGCCTCTCTGTAACTCTGCCTTTCAAACAAAGAAATAAATCTATAAAAAAAAAAGTATGCTTCATTCAAAAGCATCCCAATTCTTAAACTTACTTAGTTAATCATAAAATTATATAGCAGAATTTAATTTGCAGGTGTAAGTTGATGTATACATTCTACATGTAAGATGAAAATGTAATTACGAATTTCCCTAATTTGGTAGGAACTCTGAAATCATGAAGCATCTCTCTTGTCTTCGTTTTCTTTTAAACTTTTAGAATAAATGGATAATATTGTGTTCTTACTTGTTTTTCTGCCACAGAGAGTAGTATCATATAGTTCTCATTAACAAAGTTGTCAGCTCTTACTGTGGTCAGAGACCTCTGCACACATGAAAAGCCATTTTTTTGTTGTCATTTTCTGAACTGTTTCTTGGTAATTTTTTACTCTGCCTCCACTCATAGTTCTCTTAGTTGTTATTATCATCCTGCAGCAGCCTTCTTTATGTTTAAATTACTATTCTTCGTAGTGTTAAAAATGTTTCATCAGTACATTGTCTAAATAAAATGATAAAGGTATTTGGATTTGAGTGTTGAATGTCCTTACATTTTTTTAACTTAGTAAACTATCTTTTTCTTTCTAGGCACTTTCTTTAATGGCATTACCATTTATTCCTGCATCGAACCTTTTTTTTCCAGTTGGATTTGTTGTTGCTGAGCGAGTATTATATGTCCCTAGCATGGGATTCTGTATTTTGGTAGCACATGGATGGCAGAAAATTTCAAACAAAAGGTGAATCTTTATATTAGTTTGTTTACTGCTTACTAACAATAAAATGAACTGTGACCCTAAAGTTTTAAATCCATATTTAGTTCAGTTTTATAAATCATACTTTTATGTCTTTTGGTTTTCATCTAGATAGTTTTCTGCCTCTAATTCAGATTAAGAAAGCTCCATAGCACCTACTCATCCTGTGTTCTTTATCCTATTAATATAATTTTATTTTACAACCTGAGATGGAACAAACTTTGAGTCAGACCCAGATGAAAATAGTATATTTTTAAGGCTGGAGTCACAAATGACAATTACTATTTCCTTATGCAGTGAAATGCTAGTCATCCTACATAAGTGAGTCATATGGAATAAATACATGAAAAGTGTGTATTGTAAGCAGTTTATAATTTCTTGCTAGCAAAATTATCTTCATAATATTTGTATCCTAGTTGCCTTAAATTAGTAGTTATGGAGCAGTATACTTAGAAACTCAAATTGTAGCATGTATTTTCTCATTGTACACAATGCTGTACTGCTAAAATTGTCAAATCAAATTTTTAGTGGTCAATTAATACTAATGTAAAAATAGTAATTTGGATTAGCAACTTGAAAAAGAAGTGATAACATTTCTCACTTTTTTATTTTTCCAGTCATTCTTCAATCCACAGGATTCTGACTTGTGTCCACATTATTATGTTAAAACATGTAACAAATCACCTTCTGGTAGATACATCCAATTAGCAGTTTTATTTAAAACTTATTTCCCTGATGTCACATAAAGTATCTCTTCTGATTCTGTTCTATTTCTGTTCATTTCTGCTCTGATTCTGCTTGCTGTACCCTTACCTTGAATATTTGTATTTCTCAGGTTTACTCATAGCTTCATTTGTCACACTGCATATGCTTCATAGATGATCTCTTTCATGTCTACAGTTTTCAGTACCATGTCTCAAACCTCTTTTCTTAGCTCTACCCATATATCCAATTATAATCACTACTAATTCTTTGTACTTTTAGATTTGTTTTCCCATTAAATTTTCCTACTCCTTAACTGCCTTTTGCAGATGTGAGAGTTGAAATTCATACAGGTCACCTGAGTTACCCAAGGTCACAAAGCTAGTAAACAGCAGATTGAAATGTGTACTTAACTGCTTCTAATGACCATGTTCTTTCTGATCCATACTCCCTTGTTATGTTGAAGTGCATCTATCAAAATGAAAGAAATTGAACCTTGTTAACTGGGGCAGAAACTCAGATCATTTAGTATTAATTCATAGATCATGAGAGAATAACAATTTGCCTGAAGTTTTATAAGTAATTTGCATCTATTTTATAAGGAGTTAATTTTACTTTGAGTAGATAGGCAATTCTAGCATTAAAGTATAAGATTATTCTAAGAGTGTCATGATAGTTCATTGTAAAACTTGTAAGCAAAAACCATTTCAAAATACAGCTAATGTTAAGATTGGAGCTTTGGAAACTCAATTAAGAATACTTAAGAGCTGGCTATTTGGCCCCACAATTAAGGCACCTGTGTTGCCTGTGCTGGATGCCTGACTCTGCCTCCTGACTCCAGCTTTCTGCTGATGCAGACTCTGGGAGGCAGTGGTGATTCAGTTCCTGTCTCCAGGCTTTTATCCTACGTTAGCTGTGACCATTGTAGGCATCTGAGGAGTGAAGTAACAGATGGTAGCTATGTCTGTATTTTTTGCCTCTCAAATGAATTTTTTTTTGACAGACAGAGTTAGACGATAAGAGACAAAGGTCTTCCTTCCGTTGGTTCACCCCTCAAAAGGCCGCTATGGCCCGCACGCTGCGCCGATCCGAAGCCAGGAGCCAGGTGCTTCCTCCTGGTCTCCCATGCGGGTGCAGGGCCCAAGCACTTAGGCCATCCTCCACTGCCTTCCTTCCCGGGCCACAGCCGAGAGCTGGACTGGAAGAGGAGCAACCGGGACAGAACCGGCGCTCCAACCAGGACTAGAACCTGGAGTGCCGGCACTGCAGGCAGAGAATTAGCCTAGTGAGCCGCTGCACCGGCTCAAATAAAAAAAAAAAAAAAAAAATCTAAAATTACTAAAGTTGTAGGTTTTGGCACAAAGTATTCTTAAGTATTAAAAGTCATCTTGTCATTTAATCTACTATTAGAATATATGGTTGGCCCTCCATATCCATGGGTTCTGCTCCTGTGGATTCAACTCAGGGTATATCAGAAATACTCAGGGAATAAAAGAATGTGCTGAACATATACAGACTTTCTTTTTCTTGTTCTGTACACAGTGTAGTATAACAGTCATTTACATAAAATTTACCTTGTATGAGGTATTATAAATAATACCTTGTCATGCTTTTAACATAAAGCAAAATATTCATAGGTTACATAAAAATACTACACCATTTTATATAAGATACTTGTGCATCTGCAGATTTCGGTATCCACAGGGAGCCCTGGAACCAGTCCCCCACAGATACCAAGGGACTGCTCTATAATGTAATGGAAGTCTGCATTGGAAGGTCATATTTAATTTTTTTTTATTTTCATCTAAAGTTGGATGCTTATTGGAATGAATTAGAATAAAATCAGGCATGATATTTAGGAACACTTAATATATTTCTTATCTTTGAGAACAAAGGTAAAATGTCTTTGGTAAAATAGATAATGTTTTGTTTTGCTTTTTCTTTTAAACAGTGTATTTAAAAAACTGTCTTGGGTTTGTCTGTCTATGGTGATATTCACTCATGCCTTAAAAACCCTTCACAGAAATTGGGATTGGGAGTCTGAATATACATTGTTTATGTCAGCCTTGAAGGTAAAGTATTGTTCAGGATAAAGCAAAGTATACCACAGTAATTTCTTGTAGCTGTTTTAAGTTATCTTACTGCATTTGCAATTAGATACTTAAATATTAAAACTGTTACTGAAACATTAATGAAAATAATTTTTATTTTATTTAATGTATAACCAAAAGTTCTAAATAATACTTAACTGTATGTCCAAAGCATATGAGTAATTCTCTAAAAACTCATGGAAAATGGAATTATATGTGTTATATATATAATTATATATATTATAATGTTTATTATAGTACAAAAGAACTTTTTTTGTTTTCTCATAATATACACTTTTCATGAACTTTTAGAAGACTCCCTCAGGCAGTTATTAGAATGTATAAAATGATAAAAATGTTCAAATCAAAATAGTAGATTCCATTGGTTCTTTTTATTTTTCTTAAAATTTATTTATGTGAAAGTCAGAGTTAATGCAGAGAGAGAAGGAGAGGCAGAGAGGTCTTCCATCTGCTGGTCCACTCCCTTCACAGCCACAACAGCCAGAGCTGCACCAATCCAAAGCCAGGAGCTGGGAGCTTCTTCTACGTCTCCCACTCAGGTGCGGGGGCCCAAGGACTTAGGCTATCTTCTACTGCTTTCCCAGGCCAGAACAGAGAGCTGGATTGGTAGTGGAGCAGCCAGGACTTGAACTGGCACCCATATGGGATGCCAGCACTGCAGGCAGCAGCTTTACCCACTGTGCCACAGTGCTGGTTCCTCCATTGGTTCTTAAGATGGGCATTTTTACTTTTTAATATTTATGAAACAGGATAACTCTTACAGTGAAAAATCTTACAGTTAAAATAGTATCCTTTTTTTTTTCTTGGTGGTATGTAAAGTCATCGTGAGTCTTATAATTGAGAGCAACTTAAATTCAGTATAAAATCCATAGTGAAAAATGGCACCCTACTGTTAGGAGGGTAATAAATGGTTACAATACTATAGGAAACAGGAAAAACAGAAAGCAGTAACATTTCTGTAGAATATATAAATCAGAAGAAGAACTTTTGAAGAAAACACAAATTTGGATGGACTTTGGCCTATTGGTTAAGACTCACATCCCCTATCAGTGTACCTAGATTTAGTTCCTGGCTTTAGCTCCTAACTCTAGCCTCCTGCTAATGCAGAACATTGGATCAGCAGTGGTGGCTCAAGTAGTTGAGTTCCTGCCATCCATATAAGAGAACTGGATCGTTTCCCTGGCTTCAGGCTGAGCCAGCACTAACCATTTTGAGCATTTGGAGAGCAAAACAGCTGATGTCACTTTTGTCTCTCTGCCTCTTAAATGAATTAAACACACTCACACAAATTTGATTCTTGTAATGATGATCAGCCAAGATTTTTTCAGGTTCTCCTTTACCAGTGATTCTATTCAAATCACTAAATATTTAATTCCTTTGGCTTTTTTTTTTTTTTACTTTCCTTGGCCTAGCTTTATTAAATTCCTGCCTCATTCCAACAGTCTGTGTGGCTTCTTGATTTGACAGCTACTTAAAATCAGATGTACTTACTTAGTAGCTCCATTCCTTCTCTAGCACAGAAATCTTCAAATAAGTGTGAACTGTTTATCATGCTTGTTAATACACACTCCAAGGATACCAGTGAGCTCCATAATTTTCAGGAATTTTGCATATCATTCCCATGATAGTGATTGAAACATACAACCCTATCCACTGCTAGTTCTTTGTTGAGTATCATGCTTTAGCATGCCTGAACTCTGAAAGCACAAAATAAACATTAGTACCAGGGATTGCATTACCATATTAGATAATGTAAATAGCTTTAAATATCAAGTTTATAATTTCCTAAAAATAAAACATTAATGCAATGTTTAAATATATTTTTATATTCTAATACATTTTCTCCTAAAAGAATAGAAATAGACCCAGGCTTTCAAACAGCATGAAACACTAATCGTTCAAATCCTAATGTAAATAATGGTGTTTGGCAGAGTGGTTAAGCCACTTGGGGTGTCCACATCCCATATCAGAGTGCTGGGTTTCAAGTCCCCATTCTGCTTTCTAGTCCAGCTTCCTGCTAACATGCACCTTGGAGGCAGCAAGTGATGGCTCAGGTACTTGGGTTCCTGCTACCCACAGGGGAGACATAATCTCAGTTTCAGGTTCTTGGCTTCAGTGTGCTTTAGCCCTGGCTGTTGTGGGCATATGGAGAGTAAAAATAGAGGATCTCTTTCTGTTTTTGTGTATCTTTTCATCTCCCTACCTTTCAAATAAAATGAAATTGAAGCCTACACTGTAGCAAAAGAAAACATGTATAAATTAGACTGCTGTGATTTTAGTATGTTGATTTCAAAAGGGAGGGGAGGGTAAATTTGATGAAATAGTCTTTATTTGGCTCCTTCCTAACTACTAGAGACATCTCCATGGAATATTCTATTCCTAATAGTGTACCAAATAAATATCTGTGTGAACTGCAGCCAGGTAAGTTTTAGTTGTAACTCATTTTTATTTGTACTTGTATTTAAGGTAAATAAAAATAATGCCAAATTATGGAATAATGTAGGACATGCACTGGAAAATGAAAAAAACTTTGAAAGAGCTTTGAAATACTTCTTACAGGCCACCCATGTTCAGCCAGGTAAGCATTGTTAATTAATAAATTAATGGATAGTTTCTTTTCTTTTAAAAACTTGATTATGTTTGGGGATAATAAGGTAGAGTTTGTGACTTGAATACTAGTGTTTTATAACTTTGTTCATTTTGAAATGCACTCTGTATGTAAGAGTTACTTCTATCAGACGTATGAGGAATTTTTTAGCATAGTTTTTGGGTGGCATAACTAAGCATTTTTGCTGAAGTAATGGTACTAGTATGAAGTGGTAGTGGTGTGAATAAAGAGATCAAGAGAAAATAAGGTAATAGGGTTATGGTTTTTGTTTTTAGGTGGGAAAGAAACAAAAGCATGGGTGAGACTAACAGATGAGAAAAGTAGACTTTGAAGGTGGCTGAACAAATTAATCATTGTCCTTGAACAGATAGAATCTGTTCTATAGGATTAGGATTTCATTCAGTCTTCACAGCTGGTATTTAACCTGTGGTAACAGGGAAAATGTATTTTTATGGACATGAATATAGGCAGGTGTTTAGATGGCATAAAACAAGCTACTGAAGTTGTCTTCTGTTGGCTTGTTTTCTTAGTGAAATGGAAAGCAAAATCATCAGTAGGAGGGTATGGGGGAGGAAGTGTTGGAGATCCAAGAGTAGAGAATGTGAAGGATTCTTAAAAAACAATACTTTGCAAACTTTAATGTTTATAGTAATGCATGTTCTGATGTAGATTTAGAGCAAGTCCTGAAAATATGCATCTATAATAAACTCCCGAATGGTGCTTAAACCACAGTTGGAGAAGCAAAGATCTGGGAAATTAGAAGAGTGTATAGACTGGGAAGATGTAGTATAATTGCCAGGCAACTCTATTATTCTATTTGAAATAAGTAATACTTAATTTAAAACTAAACCAGTTGATGTAGTTACATGTTTTCTCCTGCTGTTGGTCATCCACGATAGTGATGTGCAGGCCTGGTGAACTTGGTTATATAGGTTGAGAATTTTTCCAGATGACTATTGCCAAGTAAGAAAGAGCTAAGGGAGTGAATATGTTGATATATAGAATCTGAACTGGTTAAGTAGGAATGTGAGGCAGGATGAGGAATGGAGGAAATTGTTGTTGGAGTATGTTGTAATTACAGCAGCAGTAATTTTCTGTAGGAGTGTAATTGGCATTTGAAATATGCAGAACTATATGACAGGATACGTGCCAAATAGGACCCCTACCCTCCAAATGCCATCTTTACTTTAAATTCAGAGTGACAAAACCAAGAATTAGCCCTGACACATTACTAGATGTCCTTGGAGGGATGTAAAGTGGTAGACACTGCCCCATTTTTTCTCATAGATATGACTATGACCACTTAATTAGTTAAGATAGAAAGGAGATTAGAGTCATCAGGATAAAGCACATCAATACAACAGTATTAGAGGGCTAGTGGGATTGGTAACGAACCAAGCAAGGGTACTGGATAATAGACTTTAATGGCCTGAGATTAGAGACACATTATTTTAGAAGAATTGATAATTATCTGAAAGTGACAATAAAGATCAAGGTGGACATCTACTCTTCTTCTAGACCCAGTGTTATGAAGGATTAGGCGAAGAACAATGTCACCATATAGAAGAAGTACAGGGTAGTCAGGTCTCCAGAACAAACCCAAAGTTCAGTTAGAGAAAGGTGTAGAGAGAAGGTTGTAGAAATAACAACTCTTGGTCTCACCTTCCTGTTTTACCTCCCACAGCCCTTTGTATAGTTTAATTTTTCTTGGCGTATGGGATACATATCCTGTACTTCTTACCCTTTGCCTTTGTGTTCTTCCTTGAATCTAAAATTTCTCTGTTTTCACTTCTTCTGAAACACTTGTCACCATCTTTTACAACCCATCTACAGGGCTTCTCTTCCAAAAAAGATCCCCTTTCATTCTGGCTAACAGCATGTATTTCTCATTTGTAAAGTCCATTACAACTTCCTCTCTAACTTTTTATGATTTTTGGCAATTTCTTATTTATTGCTTTCCTATATTTACTTAAATGTTAATTTATTAAAAGCAGTCATTTAAACTATGATGTACTTTTGGGGTAGCATGAGCATCTGTTTTATCTTTTACCCCATATCATCTAATAGAACCTTAATGTCACTAGTATGATAGTTTTAATTTTGAAAGTTTAGACTCATTTTAGGAGCTTTCAGAGAAGCAAAATCATCTTTGATATCAGACAGTTGGGAGCTTTGAGACTTAGAAGATGGAGCTGGCTTCTCCAGCCTCATCGTTGTCCTCTAAATTGTGATAGTAATTTTCTTTCTCACATCATTGTTGTAAAGACTAAATTGGATGTGTGTATATGCATATTCAGTTTTGTCTGGTGAGTAGTGTCCCTATCTCAGGATGTTGCAATTATAGGCATTTCATTCTTAAATGATTTCCCTTCATTGTTAACGGTTACTACTTGCTGAACCTGTTTCCTTCAATATGATTTCATTTTCACACTTTCAAATTTGCTGATTTTGTTAACCATGGGCTAGGAAAACAGTGCACCAGTTTATTAGAATTTATTATGAATAAAACAGGTCAACAGGAACACTGTGCCATTTAGATATACTTTGGCTTTTTTTTTTAAGCTATGTTCTTCAAAGATTTGGCAGGTGAACTGATGTGTTATTTGTTATTTTACTGCATTAGGACTAGATAATGAGAGGGGGTCAGACAGAAGTGACCAGGATAGGACTAAAATGGGACAGTTAGTGTGGAGACTCACTGAAAGCTCAGACTCTGGTGTCCTGCACACTTTTTGTCAAAATCAGTTCAGTCATCTTGAATTTTTCCATGCATACTATGTGATGTTTTGGTACATGTATGTTATCTAAATTTAGAATATTAACAGTATCTCTTGTTTTATATGGATTAAATTAAATATTGCTTAGAAAGGACTAAGGCCAGTTTCTAGCCCATATTGTATACTCAGTAATATGTACACTGGTTAATATTGATGGCATTATTTTCATTGAATCTGAGGAAGGAGGAGGCAAAGTGAAAAAAAGAGTGAATAGCAAATAGTTCTGTAGGTTTATTCATTCATTGAGCATAGATTTCAGAATTTACCATTTGTCACCCACTGTTTTAAGTGCTGTGGATCCAGCAGTGAGTGAAGCAAATTCCTTGCCCTCTCAAGAGTTCCCATTTTAAATAAAAAAGACAATAAATAGGTATATACAAATACATGAGGAGGAAGTGGTACCCAATAAACATACACAAATGTGCATGTACATACATATGCACATGTATTTATGAGGAAGTGACAAAACTATGAGAATAATAAAAGAGTATAGATTAAAAACTGGTCAGATAAAGGGTTTTTGGAGAAGTAGCATTCAATAGAAATGAGACTAAAATGAGGTGACAAACCATAGAAATATACTTTGATGAGGTAATTTTAGGATAACCAGCTTTGCAAATAGTGAAGAACAAGAATTTATAAACATTTTGCAGTAACCAAGACATTATTGAATTGCAGTTTTTAATAGCTGTCTTGAGTCATAATTGACATACAATAAGCTGTCAGTGTTGAAAGTTTATAACCTGATAAATTTTGGCATATATAAGAGCATCATCAAATCAAAATAATGAAAATATCCATTAGCTCCCCAAATTGCATGTGTCCTTTTTTAGTGCCTCCTCCTTAATGCACTAGACTCCAAGCCAAATTGAACTACTACATATCACTATAGAGCACGTTACTTTTTAAAAATTTTATATGAATGAAATCATGGTCAGTAGACTTCTTTTTCCCCCCTGACTTTTTCACTCTGCATAATTACTTTGGTACTCATTCATGTATGAGTCAGAAAACCATATCTTTATATGGCCAGATAATATTCTTTTCTGTAGATGTGCCACAGTTTATCAGTTTACCTGATATTCAGATCATTTTCAATTTGGCGTTGTTACAAATAAAGCTATTGCGAACATTCATACACCAATCTGTATGGATATTGGTTTTCATTTCTCTTGGATCAATAACTAGAAGATAAGTATGTTATATAATTTATGTATATTTAACTTTTTAAAGACTTACCAAATTGTTTTCCATGGAATGTATTTTATTTACATTTCTAGCAGCAGTATAGGAACATTCCATGTGTTTCTGGTTCTTCACTTGCTGAGAATATTTATTGTAAAAGGATATTAGATTTTGTCAAATTTTTTCTCCATCTATTAAGTTTTTTTAAATGCCTTTTTTCCATCTATTGATAATTTTTTTAGTCTGTTAAGATAGTGCATTAACAATAATTCTGGCCGGCGCCGCGGCTCACTAGGCTAATCCTCCGCCTTGCGGTGCCGGCACACCGGGTTCTAGTCCTGGTCGGGGCGCCAGATTCTGTCCCGGTTGCCCCTCTTCCAGGCCAGCTCTCTACTGTGGCCAGGGAGTGTAGTGGAGGATTTGGGCCCTGCACCCCATGGGAGACCAGGAGGAAGTGCCTGGCTCCTGGCTTCGGATCAGCATGGTGCGCCGGCCGCAGCGCGCCGGCCGTGGCGGCCATTGGAGGGTGAACCAATGGCAAAGGAAGACCTTTCTCTCTGTCTCTCTCTCTCACTGTCCTCTGCCTGTCAAAAAATAAAATAAAATAAAATAAAATAAAATAAAATAAAATAAAATAAAATAAAATAAAAAAACAATGATTCTATAAAGTTAAAATAACCACTTGATCATGACATATTGCTCTTTTTATATATTGTTGTATTTGATTTGCTAAAAACTTTTAGGTTTACTTCTCTATTAATGAGGGATTGACTTTATTTTTTTGTAATGTCTTTCTCTGGTTTTAGCATCAACTGATGGTAACCTTGTACTACTGCTTGAGAAGTATTCCCTCCTCTTCAATTTCTAAAAGGATTTATTTAGATCTAGTGTAATTTGTGCCATCAGGTTTGATGGACATCACTAGAGTTTACTTATATCTGTTTTACCATTAATCCCATCCGTTATTTTTCTAATCCTAGATTTTGTTTTCATTAGAAGATCTGGTTCTATGTCGTTGACAGGGTGTGTGTGTGTATGTATAAAAAGGCTCTTCAAAATGTTTATGGAAAATGCATTTTGTGAAAAAATTGTGCATGGATTTCAAAATTTTTACACCTAAATAAGCTGACCTTTATATCCTGTTTTCCTACAAAATTTTTGAAGTGCCCTCATGTACCAATGAATTTGATGTAGGTTATAAGAGGAAGTGAGACCTGAAAGATGACTCTTAGATTTATGTCCTGAAAAATTGTAACAGTACTATTTATGTTCTATCTTGCTTGGTGGTAGAGTATCAAAAGAGGGAAATCAAGAATCCTCTTTAGTTCCTGCTAGAAATATAGATGAAGATAGATAACTTGAAAGATAAAAGGTCAGGGTTAGATAGAAAAATTTGGAGTAATAAGATGATATTTGACACTTACAACAGCATAGAATTACATACAGTAGGATTTGTAACATTTTAAATTATATTGAAAATAATCGTGTGAAGGCTTTTGTTGCTTAGTCAGAATAAGTATATAAACTACATAGTGTTCTTTGACCAGGCGGAGTGCATATAGATGACCAATTGATTTTGATTATTTTGTTTTGATGATTATATGAGTTTTTAAAAATACCAGTCACAAAAGTTATAATTTCTCAAATGAAATTACACTTTCCACAGGCACTTTTAAAAGTCACATGTAGAGTTTTCTCAACAAACACCAAAATTCCCCAAGGATTTTTTTCTTGTTTTATTATTTTTCCTTGTTTTTTTTTTTTCTTCAATTTTTTCTTGAGATCAGTTGTTTCATTTTTATCTAAGTTTTAAAATCCTTGAAATTGTTCATATCCATAAACGATTGTGGACATCAACTTCAATTCTAATGCCATCAAGATGGGAATAATTTTTAAAGCATTCTTAGGAGTTCCCATGCATTTATAAATTTTTGCTTTTAGATAGACACAGTTATGTGAATAGAAAATATTGGAAAGCAACACAAATGACTGGACCATCAGTGTAAGAATGCTTAACTTTAGATTTTGGCAGCAGACACATTATTGGGCATAAACAGTTGCCTGATACTTGGCGGCCACATTTAGTGCATCTGTAGACAGGATGAGTAAGATCACTTGTGACCCAGTCATGTGTCTGATAACTAAAGTTGTTTCAAAGAAATAACTGTCAGGGATAGGATTGTGGTCATAGGTTACCGCTGGCTCCAGTGCCCTCATCCCATATGCATGCTGCTTCCTGTCCTGTCTGCTCCACTTCCAATCCAGTCCCTGATAATGCACCTAAGAAGGCAGTGGAAGGCGATTACAAGTGCTTGTGCCCCTGACACCTGCATGGGAGACCTGGATGGAGTTCCAGGATCCTGACTTTGGCCTGGCCCAGTCATGGCCACTGTGGCTCTTTGAGGGTTCAGCCAGTGGATCAAAGATCTCTTTCTCTCTCTGTGTCTTTCCAATAAATAAACTTTGAAAGAGAGAGAAAAGAAAAAGAAAAAAGGAAGGAAGGAAAGGAAGTCCTCAAACAAATGGTGAGTATGTTTCAAGATACATACAGCAGTTAGAATATGATATGGAAAAATCTGTGATTTCTTTTCATGATAAAGTCAGGGGACTACAGAGATTTGGTGCCAGTGTTTCTAATTAAATGAAATTCTAACTTTTTGGTAGAGGTTAGTGAAAATTAAAATGCAATTGTTCTCCTTGCCAGCTTTAGGGATCTGCATTCTCTCTCTGAATCACTTGGAAATGAGGAAGAAGAAACTATGTAAACAACTCTTTCAAAGAGATTTGCTAAGTAGAAGCTCAGAGATTTTAGCAATAGGATAAGCAGGATAACAGCTTGAACAAAGTCCTTAAGTAGGGAAAAGCAAAGGGATTCATTGCATAAGTACATTGATTATCCTTCAAGCAGTTAAGAAGTATAGGAGGGAAAGCAGACTGTATGTGTTATGCACACAGGTCTGTCTTAGTATTAAACATTCATACAGGTTAAGTTAACAGCTTTAACAGTGGAATGATAAGCAAGTTCCCTTCTGATTTCATTTCCCTGTTGAAAATAAGAAAATAATAGATTTTTTAGAAGAGAAAAGGAATGGAATTTTAGAAAAGTGAGTTGATTGAGGTAACCTAGTGTTGACATACTAGGGTACATTTGAGATTGTGAAGTTCTCATTCACCTTGAACTATAGACAGATTCCTTTATTCATGCTGCTTGTTTTTTAGTGTGCCAGAAAAGCAAGCTTATTCTTTAAAATTCTCTGAAACTCTTTATTCATTTGAATATCATGGATTTTGGCATTTTGCCTTTTCTTTCCCTTTTTCAAATTCAAGTTTATCTTAAAAGTATTAGTATTTCCCCTTCTGGAATTTAAAAACTTTTTAACTTACAGAAATATTTAGAAATTAGGCCATTCCTAAAAGATATCAAACTTCTGTCTTTGTTCTTTGAGCAAGTAGGGCTGCTTTACTCTAATGTCTGAAGTCTTCATTGATGACAGTATCACCTCTCTGTAATTCTAAGAACTTGATTCCAATGAGTGAAGTTTGTGTTATCTTTTATCTAAGTAGATAATCTCTTTCTTTCCTAAGTTTTTTATAAGCTGACTTCAGTAGTATTTTAAATACTCAGTTAACATAATTCTGTGATTTTATTTATCTAAACTTCATGTTTGTTTCTTCTTATATTTAGTAATGCAATGATTTTCACCTCTGACTTTATATCAAAATTGCTTAGAAACTTCTTAAAAACATGTTTTTGCAGATTCCATTCTTGAAGATTGTTTGATAAATAGAATTGGATGGGGCTAAGGTTCCTGAATATTTTTAAACTATGTATTCTGATTTTTAGCAGGAGCAGAAATGGCTTAGCTTAAACATTTTGTTTTGTTTTGTTTTGCTTGAGCCCCTCCTGACTCAATGGGACACAGCAGTGGATCTAAAAAAATAATAATTAGCTCTCTTGCCCTCAATCTTGTCCTTCCCCAGTTCTCTGACCAAACCTGTGCTGCATTTCCCAGATTTTGTGCAGTGCACACAATTGCCAGTCTGAAACATAATGTAGCAAGATCTTAGGACTGTTACTCTCCTCCTAGGGTAATGCCCAAGACATATATACTTGGCCCCTATGTGTCCTGGGAATTGCAGGCAGAGAACTATTCCACAATTGCAAAATCATCGATGTCACAGGCAAGTAGTAATCATAATTTGAAACTTGTCATGTCTGTTAGATATTCATGTTGAGTAAAATTGTCTGATTTAAGATCTTCTCCTTTCATTCTATCTGTATTCCAAACCTTTGAAATACTTATTAGTGTACAGTGAGTCCTCATATCTTTTTTATTTAAATATATTCTTTTCCATCACTAAATGAATTTGCTGGGGATTTTATTTTCCAGTACAGAAAATAACATTACTGTAGCCTTTTAAAATTTTAAATAAGTTAAACAGGAATTAATCAATATTTAAGAGAGATGGGCCACTGCTCGTACATAATATTATTGTTCTGAGAGTCTGTTATACTCTCATTATGCTCACTTTCACAAGAATTTTTTAAAACAACAAAGTTTTTCACAGTCTCTGTTCCCCTATGATGATGTGTGCTTGTTAGTTTTACTTAAAGTAATTCTGGGAATCATGACGCTCTTTTTCACTTACAGAGGTGAACCATCCATTTTTGAGTGGATTCCAATCTGTGAGATTAAAGAAATGCAAGCAAGCCTTAGTATAGGATAGTAAAATATACTGAAGAAAGGTGATATAAATTTCTTCATTATCTCTTTCTTCCCTTATGTCTTAACCATTCAAAGATCCATTCAGGTAGTTTTTTGTGTGTATTTTCTGTCCGTACAGTGCTTTAAGTAATTTTATAGTATACCATTGGTCATAAATTACACAAGTTATGTTAGAAGAACTTAAGGAAGCAGATCCTGTTTCCTGCTTTTGCATTTTCGCCTACTGTGTTCCTAAGAACATGTCTTTTCAGTAGTTGGCATTGAATATTATCTAGGATATTTGCCATCAGATGATTTTTTTAAATTTCAGATGATATTGGTGCCCACATGAATGTAGGAAGAACTTATAAAAATTTAAATAGAACCAAAGAAGCTGAAGAATCTTACATGATGGCTAAATCACTGATGCCTCAAGTGAGTTGTGATAATTTATCTATTGTGTCATGTCTATTAGAATGCATTATTTCAATCCAAAAAAAATACGATGAAATTATTTGATACATCTCTTGCTCTGTTTTTTCCATCGGTTGTTGTACAATGAATGATACAGGCACAAGATTCATTGGAAGATCTTATGCCCTTGACCAGTTAGCTATGTTATCAGTAAAGACAGTTTAATCTGGTTGCATTTTTTCAGTTTTAATAATAGTGAATAATAGTAATATTGCTAATGATTGGTAGATTAACACATAGTCCAGAAACATAGTTTGACCATATGATATCCTGAAGAATTGATTCAGTCCTAGAATATTGCAATTAAGTTGTATTCATTACAAGTTTATATGATATATAATTTTATCATATATAATTTATGATGTATATGGCAAATCTGGATCCTTATATATCATGTATAATAACATTCCCTTGACTGAGTCATTTAGTTAATTAGAGCATTTTATTTCACAGCTTAACCAGACAAGTGAGTTTTTAGTATTAATCTGAAATAAAATTAACAACTTTTTTGTCAAAGGAATGATCTTGCTTGATAATGTGAGTTGACAAAGTATACAAAATACACTAGACTGAGCGACAGGAGATCTGAGCTTTATTCTTGTTATGACATATAGTTAATAGATACTTTGACCTTTGAAAGTTTCATTTATCAGCCTTCATAAAATTATGAGTATTAATAAAAAGCTAACAGCAATCCATTGAGCTGGAATGAATGAACAACTATGTCCTTCAATGTCGTTATATTTTTGGTACTTTTTGTGAATACTACAGATGCTTTCTTATTCATTTTTATGATTTAATATAGTAATAAAACTGTTATTGTGATCTTCTTATATTTTCTGTCATTTTTAAATAAGACTAGGCATACTGACTTTTGACTTTTTTAATACCAAAATACCATGCATGTTATGAAAATACCTTTTCATCTAAACAGATTATTCCTGGTAAAAAATATGCAGCCAGAATTGCCCCTAACCACCTAAATGTGTATATCAATCTGGCCAACCTGATCCGAGCAAATGAGTCCCGACTGGAAGAAGCAGATCAGCTATACCGACAGGCAATAAGCATGAGACCTGACTTCAAGCAGGCATATGTTAGCAGGTATCAGTTACTTTTTATTTAATTTTAAAGCTGTCATTATGGAAGATTAAAGTTGGATCTGCATGTACATTTTGACCATTTTGACTGAATTGGCCTGTTTTTGTTTTAGTAGTCTTCCTTGGCAGCCAAGTTCCTAGAGGGACATAGTTTATTTTAAACTAATAGTCAGTAACTTGAAATTCACAAGAGACTCTAAATTAAAATAGCCAGCTTTGGTTTAAAGTGTAAGAAAGGATAGAGGAAGCTTCCCTTTCTCTGTTTCATTTTCTTCTCATCACCAGAAGCATTTTTTTTCTCTATTTACAGTACCTGATACTTATGTTTTATAATAGTTATTTGTATTATTTAACTCTCAGGACTTTTTAAAATAGATTTTCAGAACTGACTGGTTTTTCATGCTGTTGCTTCAAAGAAAACTTCTTTGTTGTTAGAAAAAGTTTTTTGGCCTCTAAGTGTTACCATTTGTATTATACCTGAGAAATAACAAAATTGTGTTTTGTAGCCTGATCCAGAAATCTAATCATAATTTATGCCATTGTTTTTTGTAGAAAATTGCATTCAAAATTTAAGCTTGTCAAATGAAATCTGTTTTTAAGTTTGGTTTTACCTTTGTTCAGGCTTACTTGTAATCCACTAAGTTTAGCAGGGTTGCATCTATAAATAAAATGTGTGAGGTTTAATACATGAAGATTTGTTAAATAATTTGTGCATTTAAAAATCACATTATGGACATTCATTCTGTAAGTTTTATATTCCTTTGCTTTCACTCCTGTGCTGAGTCCTATAGGAAAAGTAGTAATATAATAAAAACAACTTTGCTTGTATAACTACTTAAATGTGATGTCTACATATGTAACTTTTTTAAACAAAATGACTAAGTTCTATAAGAGAGAACAGAACCGTATTAAAAAGATTTTTCACACTGATTTTCATTCAATCTTCAGTTCTGATGTGTTTCACAAAGCTGTCTGTAGGTGACACTAGTGCTCTCCCACCTGACTGTATCAGCTTTTGAAATTTGAAGGATCATCTTATAAGAATCTATTAAAAAGGACTAACACATGAAGGGATTTCAAGTTTCAAATACTCTGCTTTTTTGCACAGTGAGAATTTTATCATAGAATGTAAGGTGAATTTCCCTCTTCTTATTGTATATATTTTTCTTCTTCAAATGCTGCTTACTTTATCACCTGACAAATTCATTGATCTCCCACTGTGGTTAGTTGTCATTTTACTCATGCGGTCAAATTTTAAGATGTATATTTGAACTGCAAATATACTTTCTACCTCCCCACATCTTACCTTCTACAATCAAGCATGCTTTTTTTTATCTTTTTTTTTAAAGATGTATTTATTTCTTTGAAAGTCAGAGTTGCACAGAAAGAGAAGGAGAGGCACAGAAAGAGAGGTCTTCCATCCACTGGTTCACTCCCTAGATGGCCACAACGGAACTGCGCCAATCCGGATCCAGGAGCCAGGAGCTTCTTCCGGGTCTACCACACGGGCGCAGGGACCCAAGGACTTGGGCCATCTTCCACTGCTTTCCCAGGCCATAGCAGAGGGCTGGATTGGAAGTGGAGCAGCCAAGTCTCGAACTGGATTCCATCACTGCAGGCAGTGGCTTTACCCACTACATCATAGCGCCAGCCCCAGCTTTTTTCTCTTTTAATAGCAGTGAAAAAATATATCAAATCGAATTTGCTGAACTAAGGATTTCGGAGTTGAGGACAGTTTTGAAAAGTTATTTCTGAGGCCAGCGCCACGGCTCACTAGGCTCACTGCACCGCGGCTCACTCCACCTGCGGCACCAGCACACCGGGTTCTAGTCCCAGTCGGGGCACTGGATTCTGTCCTGGTTGCTCCTCTTCCAGTCCGGCTCTCTGCTGTGGCCCCGGGAGTGCAGTGGAGGATGACCCAAGTGCTTGGGTCCTGCACCCGCATGGGAGACCAGTAGAAGCTCCTGGATCCTGGCTTCGGATTGGCGCAGCGTGCCAGCCATAGTGGCCATTTGGGGAGTGAACCAACGGAGGGAAGACCTTTCTCTCTGTCTCTCTCTCACTGTCTAACTCTGCCTATCAAAAAAAAAAAGAAAAAGAAAAAGAAAAAAGTTATTTCTGAAAAAAAAATTTTAGGAGTCTATGTTAAAAGGGTAAAACAAGCCATGTAGAAAGTCTTAAAATTTGTCAAAAATTATGTTTACAACTGATATGGTAATAAGTAAAGCTTGTGTTTGATTTTTCCACAGAGGAGAATTGCTTTTAAAAATGAATAAACCACTGAAAGCAAAGGAAGCATACCTTAAAGCACTAGAGCTGGACAGAAATAATGCAGATCTTTGGTACAACTTGGCGATCGTATACATTGAACTTAAAGAACCAAATGAAGCTTTAAAAAACTTTAATCATGCTTTAGAACTAAATCCAAAACATAAGCTAGCATTATTCAATTCTGCTATATTAATGCAAGAATCAGGTATGTTTTCTCAAAATATTTCCATATTTAAACAAATTATAGTTTTGAATATGGTAAAATTTCAGCTTCAACTCTTACCCATTTTATGAATGGATAGTTTATAACACAACTGTGCATAAATGACTTATTGGAAAGATGTTTTAAATACATAACTTTTTTCAGGTGACATGAACTAACACTGGCAATACTACTTATTCATTCTTGTGTATATTAAGACTACTTTTTCAGACAATTAGCAATACCTACTTAATAAATCTCCATAATTATATGGATATAAACATAAAATGACATATAAATATACTGTCTAAAAATATGAACTTGTGAATTTTTTTTACATAATTAGCTCTAAGGAGCCAAGAAAATTTGTATTCCAAAAAATAGTATTCTGCAAATTTTTTTCCTTTGATTTATAATGTCAGGTATTTCCAGCACCATTTTATATCCAGTTTACTAATTTTTCTGAGATTATTATGATTTTTCTATAGTTCCTATAACTTGGCTAAATTACTAATCAGGGTAAGTTTGGATCTCTTATGCATAGCTTATTTTTTTTTTAAAAGATTTTATTTTATTTATTTGAAAGAGTTACAGAAAGAGGTAGAGACAGAGAGAGAGAGAGAGGTCTTCCATCCGCTGGTTCACTCCCCAGATGGCCGCAACAGCCAGAGCTGTGCCATTTCAAAGCCAGGAGACAGGATCCAGGAGCCTCCTCTGTGTCTCCTACATGGGTGCAGGGGCCCAAGGACTTGGGCCATCCTCCACTGCCTTCCCGGGCCACAGCAGAGAGCTGGATAGGAAGAAGAGCAGCTGGGACTCGAACCTGTGCCAATATGGGATTCTGGTGCTCCAGGCCAGGGCTTTAACCCTCTGTGCCAAAGCACCATCCCCTTATGCATAGTTTATATAGGAATTTTAGTTCTCCCTCCTATGGCAGTGTGTGTGATTTATAATCTTTTAAATATCTGTTGGATAAATAGTTTTTATTTAGCATTTTTAATTATTCCTTAGTTGTATTTCTTAAAACTTAAAAATGAACAAATCATAAAATCATAATATTTTTGAGCTGAAGAGAGCCTTTTAATTTATTTTTTAGTTTGTTTGGTAGATTAGAGAATGAGAACCAAATAAACGATCTAATGATGATCCAACTTGAGGTTGAGTAGCTAGTCTAAGAACTTTATTTTTTATGCTGTCAAAAAGATAAGAAAAATCTTTAGATCCTGTGTTCAAAACAGTATAACTTATAGAAAATTTATTGTATTTTATATAGTTATAAAACCTTAATCGTGAAAGATGCTCATTATCTAACCAAAAATTCCATCCTAAAATTCATAGTTGGAGAACATGAGAGTTTTGTTTCCTAAATCCTAATATCTCTTATCATGATATATTCTTGCCTTTGAAACAACCTAAATCTTTGAGCTAACATATAAAAATATCTGACTTAGAGGTAAACATTTAGCTTAGCAGTTAAGATGCCTGTGTCTCATATTGGAGTACTTGTTTTCAATATCCCATTCCTGACTCCAATTTCCTTCTAATACAGACCCTGAAAGGTGCCGTGTGTAGGAGGTGCCAATAAGTAATTGAGTTCCTACCACCTGGGGGAGACTTGAATTGAGTTACCAGCTCCTAGTCTTGGCCCTGCTGTTTTGTTTTGTTTTGTTTTAAAGATGTATTTATTTATTTGAAAGGCAGAGTTACAGAAAGGCAGAGGGGAGGGGAAGAGAGAGAGAGAGAGTGGTTTTTCCCCCAAATAGCTATGACAGCCAAGAGGGCCATCTTCTGCTGCTTTCCCAGGCTCATTAGAAGGGAGCTGGATTGGAAGTGGAGCAGCTGAGACTTGAACCAGTGCCCATATGAGATGCTGGTGCTGCAGACAATGGCTTTATCCGCTATGTCATGGCACTGACCCCTTGGCCCAGCTGTTGTAAGCATTTAGAGTGAACCAATAATGGTAGGGCAAGCTTACTCACTCTCACTCGCTCTCTCACTCTCTGTCCACCCCCTCCCTCCCTCTCTTACTGCCTCTCAAAAAAAAATTCTGATTTAATAATTTTGAACATTTTCTTTACCTAGGAATAGTTACTACTTGTTGAGCATTTCTCCATATATATCATGTAATTTTAGAAAATTCAGTAATTAACCCAGAGAAGTTACATTACTTGTTCAGTGTATAAAATTAACAGAATCAAGATTAAGTACACGTCTTTGTTAGTAAATCCCAAGCCTCTTCTCAAAAAAAAAAAATAATAATTTATTTGTTTATTTTATTTGAGAGACAGAGAACTCCCCTCCCTCTGATGTCATTCCCCAAATGTCCACAATGGCCAAGCCTGGGGCAGGCTAGTGTCCGGAGCCAGGAATCAGGAACTCAGCCCAGGTCTTTAGCCTCTCCTTAGTTTTTATCTATTCTCTGATACTCCCAATTGGATTCTAAACTGTAATGAGATATTTCTTCCCTTTTAGTTTCTGAACTACTCTTACTACTTTAAAGGAAAAGAAATGAGCTATCATTTCAGTGTCGCAGTCACATCATCTTTCCATAAAGACTGAGATTTTTGCTCCTTAGGTGCAGAAATTAATTGCTGTAATGCCTTCTTTTTGTAATCGAACTGAATCATTGAAAATGGTTTTATTCCTCAGACCTAATTCATTGGCTGACAATATAATTTTATTTTTCTTAAAAACAAAATTTTCTTAGGTGAGGTTAAACTCAGACCTGAAGCTAGGAAACGACTGCTAAGCTATATAAATGAAGAACCACAAGATGCCAATGGCTATTTCAATTTGGGAATGCTTGCCATGGATGACAAAAAGGACAGTGAAGCAGAGATTTGGATGAAGAAAGCCATAAAATTACAAGCCGACTTCAGAAGTGCTTTGTTTAATCTGGCTCTCCTGTATTCTCAGACTGCAAAGGAATTACAGGCTTTACCAATTTTAGAAGAGTTACTGAGATACTACCCTGATCATATCAAGGGTCTTATTTTAAAAGGAGACATTCTGATGAATCAAAAGAAGGATATACTTGGAGCAAAAAAATGTTTTGAAAAGATTTTAGAGATGGATCCAGGTAATGTGCAAGGAAAGCACAATCTTTGTGTTGTTTATTTTGAAGAGAAGGACTTACTAAAAGCTGAAAAATGCCTGGTTGAAACATTGGCATTAGCACCACATGAAGAATATATTCAGCGCCATTTGAGTATAGTCAGGGATAAAATTTCCTCATCTAGTTTTATCGAACAACCAGTATCCCCAGCTGGTAAGATGTCAGGTGTAGAAGAAGGAAACAAAATTCCACCTGAAAATGTGAAAGAAATCAGTAGTGAATCCAGACCAACACAGATAAAAAAATCAAATGATAACAAAAGTCAATCTAAATCAGATAAACAATTAGGAAAAAATGCAGACAAAGAGACTCCCCAGAAAACAACAAAAGATATCAAAGAAATTGAGAAGAAAAGAGTTGCTGCTTTAAAAAGACTAGAAGAAATTGAACGTATTTTAAATGGAGAATAGTATTCTTTATCATGTGAGAGTGGTATCAAAGAACTTTAAATCTTGGAATTCCTTGTACTGGCAGCTTTCAAAAATATCGAGGATATAGAACAGTTTATCATTAGCCGCCTCATTGTAGATTCAAGGTAAAATTTTCATTAAAGGCCTGTCCTACCCCAGGATATACATATTAAGTAAGATATGGCAAAAATTTACAGTTTTGGTGAATATAGCAGAAATGCTAAGTTACAGGTGACAAATTTTCAACTTCTATTATAGAAGGAAATTTTTCCTGATAGAATAATCTGTACTACCCTCAAAAATAATTTGAGGCTTGAATGATAATCTTTGAGGGCAAATCTAACATGTGCTATTTTATTCTGTGAATTCCATGTTATTACTCTACTTCATTTTTCCTTTACCTCTTGAAATTTCTGGCTTTGGATTCAAAACACTTATTGAACACATTCTTTTTCTAAAATAGTTCTTATGTTAACCAAGGGACTTAGCACTACAGAAAAATTGTAGCTTTCTTTTTGTTGTTTACTTTGGTTGACTTTTAGAAGGAATGCTGGGTGAAACACATGTTAAAATTCATGTGACATGTTAGCTTAAGAATGTATTTTCATAGTTTCATGCTTATTCTTTACTCTAAAATGCAGTTTTTAGGTAACATTTTACACACACATGCATACATATATACACATTTCTAATGGTGCTCATGTATGATTATTTTTAACACACTGAGAGTATCACATGAACCACATAATCATGACTATATTTTGACTTTTACTCCCCAAACTATTCATGTTAGGGTCATAGTTATATTGAGAAGTCCCAATAACTGTCTTAAGAACTTTTGAGTTATAACATAGTAAATTTCTTTTTCATGTTAGTGTTAGTTCTGTGATCATATGTGAATTTTAGTTTTATGTTTCCAGAGTCACACCTTAATCCCTCTTTCATACCTTAAGCCACTAAATTCAGTTCTGTTTAACAAAAGGCAAAATAATGTGATAAAATTTATTTTTAAACACTAAATTCGTGAAATCTTGTTATGGTATATATTTTTATTAAATATTTATTTTGACTACTGAGCTTTCATAAATTTTAAGCTGTTTTAATTCCATCAATTGTGGAAAATAAATTGCTATTGCATTCCCCTATGTATGCATCATTTTTCACTGACTATCTAGTTATAAAAATAATTAGCCTAGTATAGGGTCAATAAACTTGTCAGTTGATTTTGGCAGATTTAAACTGGATTGATATAGTAAGTTGAAAAGTAGAATCAACTCAAAGTTATAATTTAAATGTTTTTTTGGAGTTAGAATGCATTTTAAATGCATTTTATAGTACTTACTAAAGTTGGTTTTAATTTAAACTGTTAAAACTAGCTATCATTGTGGGATAATACCTGATTTCTAATTATGTAGTAATTCAGAAACTATTTTTTGGTTCCTTTGAGATAACTACTTTCTAATTATGTATGTTTCAAAAATCATATCCCAGTAATCCTTTTAAGAAATGTTTTATAAATAGGTCACAAATGTTTCACATGGTCTGTATTAAAGACCTACTGTTACTAGATTCCTTGAGGATCTGTCATAGATTTTTAGGCAATTAAAAGCAAGCACTGATAATAGTGGGAGATAATTCTTAGCCCAGGAGATTGTGTTAAGCATCAAAGCAATACTTAATTTCAGTTCTTAGATTATGGCTTTATGACTCTAGATATAAGGTGGAGAATACCTCATATAATATGACTTGAAAAAATGAAGCTATGTGTTTCTTATGTTCTTTCCATGTTTTGAGAAGTTGCTTCTGAGAGTGATTTCTCTGCTATACTATAAAGAGAGGATAGTTTAGAAAAGTACAAGGAAATCTTTAATGATAGCAGACAAAATAAAAGTTTGAGTAGTATTTTAATAAAGTTATATAACTATTCAATGATAAAAGGTATATATTAATGTGTATCCAGTGATTTTTCTAGAAAAAATTATCTTAGCACATGGAACAGTGCCTATCATATAGGAAATGCTCCTGTATCTTCAATGACTTAATTAAATCAAATTCACCCTGATATAATTAATAGTTTAATAGTGATAATGGATTCTTAATCCATTTCGTACTAGAATCCTGGTGGGGGTGCCTTTTAGTATGGACATTATCCTATAACAAATCTCAATTTCTGGAGCCATGCTTCAGTTTTCTAAAAGGTGTCTGAGTGGTTCTAATTTGAAGTCATGTTAGAGCACTGTGATAAATTAATTCTGGAAAATCCTTTTGTCTGTCTTGTGCTATTTTTTAAATTTAAAGTAGAATCCAGTTAAGTTTTGATGTTTAAATTCCATTAAGAAATAATTTTCTTCTGGAAATCAGTATGTATTCCTTGAAATTTGAGATCTTACATTCCATGAAGCTTGCTTATATGTAAGATTATTATTTCTCTATAAATTCAAAATAGAAAATTTATTTAAATTGTTAAGTAAAAATAATGGATTATTTTTCTCTCTCTCTGGAGCTGCCTTTTTGAGGAAATGGTGTAGAAGGCTTATTTCATCCTAGATTACTAACCAACGGTTAAGTTGTGAGCATCTGTAAGCTTGGAAAAGAAAACCTATCACCGGTTTGTATGTTATTGATGAATGGGCACAGTTTTACAATACAATCTGTTCCCTAAGAGTTCAAGAAAAGCTTTGACAATCTCCAAGGGGCAATGGTATGTTACTCCTTCACTGCTTCTCAGAAGGTGCAATTTAAGTTTCTAGAGTTGTTCCTGTGTGGATTTATTATTATTATTAACATTCAGAATTGGGAATTTTGTCTGATAATTTTGTCTGATAATTTTGTCTGATAATTTTGTCTGATAATTATTCCAGTGAGTAGTTTTCTGGGGTTGATGACTAGGAGAATAAGACAAATATGTATTTTGTTTGGCAATTTTCTGTTTACTTTTATGTAAATATTTTGTATGTGAATTGCACAATTCTAATAAACCTCATCCCTTTTATTACATCTGATTTGAACTCAACTTCATGTTTTAGAATGTTTCTTCAAATATGCTTTAATGAAATTAAGAAAATATATAGATTTGTATGTCAGTTTATACTTCAGAATTGCATATATTTATCATATTTATTTTTTTAAAACCTTCTAATTGCATAACTAAATGACTTAAAAATAAACTCCCCAAAAGCTATGGTAACTTTGTCCAAAAGTTTACATGTTGGAAACTATCAGCCATCAGTAAGGGTTCATAAGAAAATAGTTTCAAATTGTATACATTTTACATTTAATGTGTTTACCGTATTTCTAAATATTCAGTTTTAAATTGGTACTTTTTCAAGACTTAACCTGATTTGCCTTTTAGTGTTAAAATGAAAAAAAAAAAATACAATTCTGTATATGAAGAGATTTCTACTCCTACCAAGAGCAGCTGGCATGTAGTATAGTAGCATTTATCTGTGAAAGGTGTCCATTAAATTAATTCCTAAAGATATATTATGAGTGGCAAACTACATTAAGAAAATGAACAGTTAAACTTGAAATTTTATACAAATTCAATTTCTGCATCTACCTAGGTTCAAAGTCTGTTGTCACCTATGATATAACTTAAGGAAATTGTTTAACCTGTGTGTCTCCAGTTTCTACATCTGCCAGTTGGGGAAAACACTTTCCTCTTAAAGTCCTTAGAGAATCAGTATGTTATTTATTACTTAATATGTTGAAATTGTTTAGAAGAATCCTTTAAAAAAAAAGATGTATTATTTTAAAGAGTTACAAAGAGAGAGATTGGGAGAGACTGTTATATGCTGTTTCACTCTTCACTCAGCTGCAATGGCCAGGAGCTTCATCCAGGTTTCCTACATGGGTACAAGAACCCAAGGATTTGGGCCATCTTCTGCTTTCCCAGATGCATTAGCAGGAAGCTGGATCAAAAGTGTAGCAGCTGGGACTTGAACTGGCACCCATATGGAATGCTGGTATCGCAAGGGATAACTTTACCCACTAAGCCACAATGCCAGCCCCCTAGAAGAATCCTTATAGTAAGTAAATTATCTACTAATAAAGTTAAGCTCTTTTGATGCAAATGATTTGATTTATTTGTATGCTGGCAGAGATATCAATAATGGTGATGAAAGCAAGTGATTGATTAGAAATTAATGATAATTCTCGTTTCTTAGCTATCTATGCTGACAGGTACATAGGTAGCATAAAATACAAATAGTTTTAGAAAATTTCATAGAAAGTGAATATTCTTTTTTAAAAAGTGTTTAGATTTCAAAAATGTTTTGCCAAAATATGATTCTACTGCAGCTAGTTAAGTCCTAAGGTAAAATTCAGGATAGACCTTCAAAAATTTCAGATATAATTTGGTATCCTAATTCCTGTGTTCCTCCCTTGGGAATCTTGAAAAGAAGATGTGCATAAAAGAGCAAAATTAGGCAGTACTACTTTAATAATGACAAAACCCAAAACCAAAAAGCTCCATTTTCATTTGATGAGGGTCAGACAAAATCATTTTGGCCGAGATGTGCATGTGGACAGCTAATAGGGTGAGGTGCTTAGAAGACAAAGAAAACTAAGTAATGGAAGTGAGAAACAGCTTCATTTTCCTGGCTTGACTGATCCTTTGGCTGATAGTTTGTTCAGCAGAAATCTTCTGCCTAAGCAACAGCATCTACCTAATGGGGAGTATTACCATAATTAAATGTGATAGTAAAAGTGAGAAATGCACTGGCTTTTTGCTGAATATTGAGCAGTGGATTACCTAGTTGCCAGACCTGCCTCCTAATATTTGCAAGGCCTGTGAAAAAGGAAAAGAACAGACCAACGTACCATATGTCTAAACTTTTAGAGATTATACATCAAAGTAATACATTATGCTTGCTACAGCTGACAGATTCATACAAGAAGTGAAAATGTATAAAAATGTGATTCTTTCAAAAGCAAAATAAAGGCAGATGAATTGTTATTGAACATGTATGGTGTTTTATTAAAAGGCTGACTGATCATATTTTGTTGACTTCTAAAATCCACAGTGAGCTAAAACTAAATTCACTGGAATTTAAAAACATCATGTGTACATGTGTAGGAACTAACTCCCATACATAACTGGTAGAGACAAAATGGTGTGACTACCTTAATCTTTTAAGTTTCTTCTTAGTTTAACATAGCATGGAGCTTAAATTTTTATATGTAAATTATATGCATTCATGGAAATTGCATATTCATATAGAGATTTTATATAATTATATAAAATATTATATAAACCTTACATATTTGTATGTGAATTGTGTCCACACGAGGATAGTGTAAGTGTTCTTCCAAAAGTTCCTAGAAATAGAATTAAAAGGTAGGTTTATTTTGGTACAAAAATATTTTAAGTCAGTGAATAGCTTAAAATTTTTATTTTATTTTTTAAAGATTTTATTTATTTATTTGAGAGGTAGAATTACAGAGAATGAGCGGCAAAGAGAAAGGTCTTCCATCCGCTGGTTCACTCCCTAAATGGCTGCAACAGCTGGAGCTGAGCCAATCTGAAGCCAGGAGCCAGGATTTCCTTCTGGGTCTCCCACGTGGGTTCAGGGGCCCAAGCACTCGGGCCATCTTCTGCTCTCCCAGGTCGTAGCTGAGAGCTGGATTGGAAGAGGCGCAGCCAGGACTAGAACCTGTACCTCAGGCAGAGGTTTAACCTTTTATACCACAGCACCAGCCCCTTGTAGTTTTTAAGCAATAAGCACTTTCCATCAACCTTTTGAGGGAGTTGCTGTAGTATCCCCACTCATTGTTCTGTGTTTCTACTGTCTACTCTGCTTCATGGTGTTTTTCTTCTTTCTGTAGAATTTCCACTGCAAATTTCTCTCCAACTCTTCCCTAGGAGTGCAGTTACTCCACTTTTTTTCTGTTATCTTCCTGTGGTCAAAAGCAGCATGTCTTTCCCCTGTTCAGCCATCTTGGATCTGTTCTGATCCTTTATACTTATGTTTTACTAGTTACAATGTCTCCTTTTCATTTCTGATCTTACTTGAGTCTTTTTTTTTTTTTCATTACTTATTCTAAGTTAAGATTTTTCAGTCTTGTTTACTTTTTCAAAAAGCCAAGTCAATTTCATCTTTTTCTAGTGTCTATTTCATTTATTTCTGTTCTGATGTTAGTTATTTTTTTGGTATGTGTTTTTAAAGATTTTATTTATTTTACTTATTTCAAAAGTCATGGAGTCATTTGTATTTTTAAAAGATTTATTTATTTGCTTGAAAGGCAAAGTTATATAAAGAGAGGGAGGGACAAAGATCTTCCATGCGCTGGGTCACTCCCCCAAATCCCTCCTGCTACTTTTAGGCTTAGTTTGTCTTTGTTCTTATTCCTTTTGTGGAATATTAAGTTGTTTATTTAAGGCCTTTTTTAATCTTTGATGTAGCCATGTATTGCCATAAAATTCTGATATGATTTGTATAGGTTATATCTCCAAACTCATGGCTGCTGTTTAATGTTTGAACCCCAACATCTCATGTTAATGTATGTAGAGTCCAGTATTTAGAATTCAGGCTCAAATAAAAGACCTTTGTCATTGGGGGTGTGTCCTTAAAATGTAGTTCTCAAGATAAGAATCTTTATAAAAGCTAGAGTTGGAGGTTAAGCATTTGGCCTAGTGATAAGACACTCATTAAGACACTAGCATCCTATATCAGAGTCCCTTGGTTTGATAACCAGCTCCAGCTCCTGACTCAAATTTCCTGCTAGAGCAGACTCTGGAAGGCAACAGTGATAGCAATAACTCAAGTATTTGGATTCCCAATCCATGTAGGACACCTGGATTGGGTTCCTGCCTTTCCAGTTTCAGCTTTGGTTCCAGTCCAGCCTGGAGCTAAAGTGGGCATTTGGAAAATGAACAAGCGAATAGGAGTCCTTGTTCTTCCTATCTGCCTCTCATATACGTAAAATTTTTGAAAGCTGGAGTTGTATCTAGTTGCTGTCTCTCTCCTTCATGGTTCACCATGTGATTGTTTAATGACTTGCTGTGCCACTGACATCTTGTGGCCTCACCAGATGGCCGAACCAATGATGACCATCCAGTCTTGGACTGTGAACCTCTAAAAGTATAAGCCAAAATAAACCACTTTTATTTATAAATAACTTCTCTCAGGTATTTTGTTACAGTGATTAAAAAAAGAAAGAAAAAGAGTGACACAGCTTTCCTCTTAAACTGCTTTTTTTTTTTCCTGTGGGTTTTGGTATAGTGTCTTTTCAATTTTTTTGTTTTTGTTTAAAGACTTTTTTTAAGTTTCTTTATTGACCCCTGCATTGTTTAGGAGCATGTTGTTTAATTCGCATGTGCTTGTGAATTGCTCAGAATTTCTCCCATTATGACTTCTAATTTTATATTATTGTGGCCATAAAAGTTACTGGTCAAAATGATAGTGTCCTCAGATTTGTTAAGACTTGTTTCATGGCGTAACATATGATCTATTTGCTGATCTTTTGTATTTTTTGTTTCAATTTTGTTGATTTCTTCTCTAATTTTAATTTTTTCTCCTACTAGTTTTGGGTTTGGTTTGCTGTTGTTTTTCTAGATCCTTGAGATGCATAAATAACTCACTTATTTACTTCCAATTTCTTGATGTAAGGCACCAGTTGCAATAAACTTGCCTCTTAAAACTGCTTTTTCTATATCGCATAAGTTTTGGTATGTTATATCATCATCTTTGTTTTCAGAAATTTTTTTTATTTCTCTATTGATTTCTTCTATGACCCACTGTTCATTCAGGAGCATGTTGTTTAGTCTCCATGTGTTTGCGTATTTTCTAGTGATTCCTGAGTTGCTGATTTCCAGCTTCATTTCATTGTGGTCCGAGAAGATGCATGGTATATTTTCAGTGTTTTGAAATTGCTTAGAGCTACTCAATGGCCTAGCATGTGGTCTGTCCTAGAGAATGTTCCATGCACTGCTGGGAAGAATGTGTATTCTGTGGCTGTAGTATGAAGAAAATTCTATAGATACCTGTTTGGTCCATTTGGACTATAGTGTCA